TGTAGAGTTATAGAAATTCATTCGTGTTTTTACGATCCGTTCGTTATTGTTATTGTTACATCAAAATAGCCGCAAGTCGTGTTTTTGTTGACCGCACCCCATATGTGGGTTTTAGTAGGTGTAATGGATCCAAATTAAGACCCCACATTGATCAGTATGGTACAGTCCAAATTAAAAACCATACTGTACTGATCGGCTATAATTTCTAACCCTAACGGTAATATATATATATATATTAATATGGTACGAATTCTAAATTCGGCCAGTACTATACTGATCTGCTCCTGATCTGCAAAACAACTTGCCGAAATTCATCCGAATCTTGCAAAAACTTTAATTTGATTTCTGTCAGCAAAGTCGGTGTTTCGGCTGCTTTCATATTTTCCAGTAACTGGATCGAGTAAGAATCAGTAAGTTACTGGCGTTGGCTAATGCTAAAAACTTATCATTTCAGTTATTTTCAAGTATCACAGAATTTATAGAAATAGCCATAATGTTGATCTAACAATTAGGGTTGGAAAATATATATAAACATATGTTATTTTTAAATTTTGTCAATTATGTCAATTATTAATTGACGATTGACAAAATGATTCATGTCAGTTCATAATGCTGATTATAAGACTTCATACAATAATAAAACTGATTAATCATCATGTACTTTTTTTCTTCGTAGTATTTATGGATTTACAAATTACAATTTTCTATCACCAATGAGAAATAAGCAGAGGCTGAAGAACAGAGATATCTATGATAAGCACCTGACTAGGGATCGGAACCGTTCAATCGTTAACTGATTAACCGATCAACATCTAATTAATCAGTTATAAAATATTTGAACAGTTAAAAATGATTAAACTATTATACTGTATTTTATTTTTAACGTAGGGATGTTATGTGGTCTGGATTAACAAAGTCTTAAGAATGAAGATCATAATAGACCAGACCAGACCTGGATCAAAATAGATCAGATTGGACCAGACCAGACTGTTAACATCCATATTTTAAAGGCTACATATAAATATCAAACAATGCATATATAGCAATGAAATTTACTATCTCGGATAAACTAAAGCAAATGTAGTAAAGTCTATTTACACTTTTGAATCCTTTTTTATAGTACATGATATTATATATGCATATACGTACTGTATGTATGTATGTGTATTAGATTTTTTTTTTGTATATTACATACTAATTATTTCCGATAAAAAATTGAAAGGTACAGTACATATTGTGAAATTTGATGATTTGATTAGTCAATTTTCACATGACTTTAACAATTATTTAACCGATTAAAGTCAATAAAATATAAAGATTGACCGGTTTCAATCACTATGCATAACATATAAAAAAGTCTGGGCCTTTACTACAAATGAACTTAAGTAAAATGATGCATAACATATAGCTCCTGATAGTCACTTTACATAAGATAACGGTCTCTGCAGCATTCGCATAACGTGTTTGTAGCATTTATTCCAGCCTGTCGTATAATGACAGGTTCTAACACTAGTAATTCTTTAAAATAACATGTATTATTTTAAAATTTACACCGATACCGATTGGATATAACATGTGTCAAATTTAACTAATAATCAGTCCACGCGGGAGGCCATGGATTTAACTTTATACCCGGTTTTTCACGTATAACTAAATTCGGGAAGACCGATCGTACTGTATTTGTCGCATCCATTGAATGAAGCAGATTGGTCGATGTGTGATGAATATGAGCAATCGGATGGAATGGTCTTTTCAGGATTATGGATCGTATTAGAACAATGGACTATATTAGTTCTATTAATCTTATAGTTCGTTTAGCATAAATATTTCATCTATAAAAATATAATGTCTTTGATGTTCAATAAAGAATCGTATTAATCGTATCATAAAATACTCGTTTTCTAGAGAATCTTTTGAAATCTGTAACCCAACTTAAAACTATTAATAAAATACCACCAAAAGCACCATCTGATTGATTTAATATACTAAGTTAATCATGATTATTGTATTGCACCGAAGAATACATTTCCGATAGTTCTGAAGTGGTGTAGATTGCTAAAGATTAGGTTGATACGATCTGATAATTCATTACTATCTCGAAACATTGTCACATCACTCGCAAATTTAAACGTCTTTTTTGCAAGTGAATTAGTCAAACTCCAGTTGTAAACTCTTCTGGAGGTTTACGATAAGCACGTGAGCAAGATTTATCTAACGAACGAAGATCGAGGCATGAAAACCTCCGGACGAAGATGCCCTTTATTTATAGATAGTTTCATTTATTAACGATTATACACGATTTATCTCCTTTACTTAATAATACCCATAATCTCTTATTAGATACTTAAAACTAATATGACCGTTTATAATCTCCGTATTCCTTATATTTATTATACTATCGAGATGCAAGAAAAGCGTTTATCGCGTTTATTCTGAGAACTACAAATATTGACATGACAGGAGAACTTTGTAGGCGTTTTTGCCAAGTAGATTAGTAGTAGCGAATGGCGGTGTCGATCACGTAATGATTGACAAATAATTCTAAGCTGTGATTCGCTATTGTTTTCATCCAAAATTGTTTACAAAAATTTGATCGAAGATATCTCAGCAACAGTTCAATCAAATTCGATGAATTTTTTTTTATTTGAATTCTACAGTTATGTAGAACTCAAAATTTAAAAAAAATTCATTGAATTTGATCGATTGGTTAGATAACTTCGATCAAAGTTTAAGAAAATTTAAAACGTAAGGTAAGTATACCTAATTTGACGCACCGCCGATATCCCGCGATCCACCGATAGTAATCACGTGATTTGGGACCATTCGTCTCGGTGAGACAAGTCGAATGGTACATAAATCACGTGATTATGATTGATGGATCACGAGAAATCGTCGTTTAACTCACTTTGCTTCGCCCGGAGCCCTGTTAAAAAAAATAAAGCAACAATCAAAAAACAGATTTATGTACCAAATAAATTGGAGTTTGCGCATTGAAAGCTGTTTATAACAATAGACCTACATATTTCCAATTTTAGTAGCTTCCTATTAATCGAATTGTCATATTTAATTTATTAAAATTGCTTAATTTGCGTATGCTTCGGGTACATTTGCTTCAGTCACATTTGATTTGGGCACATTTGGGGTCTTTGTCTTGAAAAATCAAGTTATGAGACATAGTAAATCATATGTCATATATTTGATTTTCAAGGAAAAACCCATTTGATTTGGGCACATTTGCTTTGGGTACATTTGCTTTTGACTATAATTCCCTTTGTAATTAAGTTTTGTAATGTATATTTTTTATCAACATGTATAAAAGCATGAATCATGTGAATAAAAACTGTGTTTTAAACATTAGTTCTAATATCAGTACAGTTGCGCAAGCAAAAAGTAAAAATATTTGAAACAGTTTATTCCTGAATTTTATTATAAAATAAAAATGCACAAATACAGTAATTATATTATCAGACACCACTGTTAATAATGTCCTTGAGGCAATTAAAAACTTCTCAAATAATTTAACCCCAAGTATCAGAAGTGTTGTGTGAGACTATAACCTTTCAGAAGCTACTCTTAGATGTGCCATCAAAAACAATGGTCCTCTCACTTATCCAGGCTGTGCCAAAGTATAAACAGATCATGAAGAAGAACAACTCATTGGATACTGCTTAAATATACAAAGGCTTGACTTCAGATTAACTAAGTCGAGTGAAACCAGTATGTGATAGATATTATTAAACAAGATGGGTGGTTTTATCCTTCTAATAAGAATGGTTCAGAGTAAAAATAGTGGCAATGCTTTATGAAGACTACTCAGAACTATCAATCTGTATACTACAAGCTCTAAATAAAGCTTGCACACAAAAAGCAAACCTCATCATTGTTAATGATCATTTCAACAACTTAAATAAATTATTTAAGACTATTCACTTACCTCTAAAAGAATTTGGAATATGGTGATTTTTTCTTACTTTTTTATTTTTTTTATTTTTTTTATTTTTGCTTTTTTTACTTTTTTTAATTTTATTTTAATTTTATTTTATTGTTTAATTTTACATTTTTTTTATATTTTTTTCTCAGAATAAAACTGACTTTGTTATCCAATCTAAACTACAAAAAAGTTGTAGCAAAAAAAAAAGCATGTTAAGTTTATAGTATTTTACATAGCAACTCTCACAAATGTATTTTCATGTATTCAACTATCTTAGCTATTAGGATTATGTTCCACCATTGATTATCTACAAGAGTAAATGAACAATTTTAAATCTTTTAAATAGTATTTCTGCTAACTCTGTTATAAGATTTACTGAAACAGAGTATATACAAAAAAGTTTGTTTCAAAAATATATTGAACATTTTATTAGTTTTATTTCTCCTGCTTATCCTGTTTTGCTGATTCTGAACAGCTACAAGAGCCATGTCAATTACACCAACTTCAACTTTTGGTATAAAAATAATATTCTTTTTATATCTTTCTTCTTATACTATTTATATTTTATAGCTAATCAAATTACTATTTGTTATATTAAAAAAGTATATAATAAAGAGTATAAAAAGTTTAAAATTAATTATAATAGTAAGATTGTGACAAAATATACATTTGCTGAAGTTTTAAAGCTATTCTATATTACAACTTACACATCTATTGCAATATGCAATGCCTTCAAAGTTAGAGGCATTTAGCTCTTCAAATCTAGTATTATTAGTTCTAACTGTCTAGATTCTTCATTAATAACAAAATAAACAAATATTCTGAAAGTTTTTGAGCAGCCAGCTTTTTCATCTTCACATTCTTCTTTTTTTTTACATTCTTCTTCACCTTCATAATCTTCTTCATCTTTACATTCTTTTTCACCTTCACAAAGTTAGTTTTAAGTTATATATTTATTACCAAAGCAAATACTATAAAAAATAAATTAATATTAGAGATTATGTTGCTAAATCAAAGAGTTAATCAGGAAGAGCTTAAAGGTAGAGTATTTGTTTACATGTTTTTTTCATGCAATATGCAAATAAATATGTATATACAACCAAATATACAATTATAATTGGTTAATTTTGCAGATCATTAAATTTTAATTAGTTTATTTTTATGCCATGTGCAAACAAATGGTAAACAAATATCCTACCCTTAAACCATTTAAAAATTTTAGCACAGTTTACTTGTAGCTAATATATAAATATTCTATACTATAATTTGCAACTAACTAAAAAACTGAAAGTTGATAAAGAACAAACAGGATCTCAACTTTTACAATACAAAAAGGAAGACTATGCTCTTTTTCTAGCTATTTACAAATAAAAGATCATTGCAACAGTTAAGAGAAACCAAAGAGAAAGCAGAATGATTAGCCAATAAGAAAAATTAAAAAAAAAGAATCTTCTTTGATATAGGTGGGCATATGTAAATTATTACTAGATTATAATATATAAAACCTAACTAATTTGAGCCAATTTAAATTCTAACCTTAGCTCTGACCCTAATAATTTATAAAATTACTTAATTTAATTCAAAATAGTTAAGTTATATATATAATAATTATATAATAATTATATATGCCTATCTATATTAAAGATCAACCAAAAAAAAAGCAACTATACAGAAAAGATTATTATGTAATGCTAAAAAAGCAAAAAAACAAAAAGTGTGCAAGAAAAAAAAGAAAGATATAAAATGTATAAGGACTGAAAGCAACATATTAAAAATTTAAAGCAGTTTGAAAAGAAATAAATTTTATTTATTTGAAGTATATTAATTTAGATCAATCTTTTAATAATCTCAATTTTCAAAAGTGTTAACATATTTGAATAAAACTTAACTATTTTTGTTTAAAAAAATTTTTTTAAATAAAAATCTATTCTAAACTGGAATGTATTATATTTAGTATAAACTTATATATTTTAACTATTCTATAAAAACTACTATTAAAGTACACTTAACTGCATCAAATTAGGTATACTTACCTTATATCATATAAAAACTGTGTTTACAAAACTTTGATCAAAGATATCTCAGCAATCAATTGATCAAATTTGATGAAAAATTTTTTATTTGAATTCTACAAAACTGTAAAATTTGAATAAAAAATGTTTCATTGAATTTGATTGATTGGTTGCCAAGATATCTCAGCAACCAATCGATCAAATTCAATAAATTTTTTTTAATTTGAATTCTACATACTGTAAAATTCAAATAAAAAATTTTTCATTGAATTTGATTGATCTATTGCTGAGATTCTTCGATCAAATTTTTGTAAACAATTTTGGATTTTCGTTGCATGAAAGCAATAGCGAATCACAGCTTAGAATTATTTGTCAATCATTACGTGACACCAACTTGTTTTTATCCCTGAAAAATTTTGCATAAATTGTTCTGAATGTGCCGCATGTGTCTCATGTGCCACATGTGTTCTGACCAACCCCTCTAGTTCACCCACAAAATTTTTCCGGCGCCAATTAGATTGAAGGATCAGGTGTAACATGAAAATTACGCCTTTTTGTTTTTTTTTACAAAAATCGCAATAACTCGAAATTTTGTTTATAAAACTGCTTTCTGTTTTCTAACAAAAAAATTATTTGCGAAATTTTGGTATAACCTATGCCTATCCCTTGACCTTAATCCTAACCCTAAGATGATATTTATTGCATTAAATCTTTCGCTTATTCGATTGTTTTGCTTTCGCGTATTTGATTGTTTTGATTATTTTACGTTACACCCGATCTTTCGATTTAATTGGATAAAAATCACGTGCCGGAAAAATTTTGTGGGTGAGATAGAGTTGCTAGTGAAACTAAGCTGTGCTGGTGAAACTGGTGACTATCTCAAATCTGATTGGCTATTAAATGCTATAGCCAGTCAGATTTTAGAAAGTCACCAGTTTCACCAGCACAATTTGGTTTCACCAGCAACTCTAGTTCTGACTACCCTAGCGCCACTAATATAAAAAATCTGGTCGATTTAAATAGCGCAAGGGATAAAATATAGTATAGATGACACCTTAATAAATAATCAATTGATTTAAAGTAGGTGTCACTCATACTATATTTTATCCCATTGGACATTTGCAGGATAAATGGCCTTTAAGCATTTAAGACACAAGGGATATTAGTGGGTTATATATAAATCGTTTGTAATATAAATGCCTGATATTCTTATCAGTGAGTATTTTAGGCGATATTCATCCCCACTTTGTAGAAAAGTTTGCAAAGTTTACCACGCTTACCATTGCAATTCTTTATCATTAATAAAGGACACTATACCACTTCAATCATTTAAACCAAAGATAATATAATATATATTAAATCATATTCGATAAATAATTAATCTATTGATCGTTCGAGCGATTTTGATTGTGGCGAAGACAAGCACTTTAATTAAAAATCCTTTGAGATCGATTGTTTTAGGATTGGTCAGGACTCATTCTCAAAAAATCGTTTACTCGTAATAGAAGTATTTTCCTGCGCCATAATCAATTGTGATTGTGGCGCAGGAAAATACTTGTATCGCAAGTAAGAGCGTCAAACAATCTTCCGAGAATGAATCCTGACCAGTCCCTAAAATAATCGATAAGAACTCAGAGGATTTTTTGGTATAATAGAAGTACTTGTCTACGCCACAATCACAATCGATTGTGATTAGTATATCGATGGATTGCAGAGTTTTGCAAATCGCGATAATTAGTCAAAAATGCGAATACTTCGACACTATTGATTGTTTAGCAACAACTATTGCCAGTTGCATGAGATATATGGATTCCATAACTTATCCTACGAATATTACATCAATAAATAAAATCAACAATAATACAGTATTAATGCAGAATTTTTTTGAAAAAAATTATCATTTTTATTTACAAAATTTATAATTAATCCTGTATAAAAATTATAATATTTTTTTATAAGCAATTATATACATATTTATGATTTTATAAGACATTAATCTATGTCATCTACCGGTAGTAATGATATTATCATACATCAAAACTATAATATTGAAAAATCTTGCTCATACATTCCACACCATATCCAGTTATGTCTAATTTTCTATTATGTACTCTATCAGGTCTGATCACTCTTCCCTGAATTTCACGAGAATAATACCATCTTCTACCATAATTTACATCAATTTTCCAACCATCATCAACGTAAAGTTTTTTAAGTAATGATTCACTCATCTCGATTGTGTGTATGGGGTGATTACTCTTTTTTATGGTAGTAAAAAGACTATTTGTATTTAAAAGATTAAAACATGGGATTGAAGTGAGATCAATGTATTGTAGATTTGGCAAGGATGTTAAAAGATCTTTAATAAGATCTAAGTTTGTGATTTGTGCTTTCGAAATTCCAAGATTTCGTAATGATGAGCAATTCTCTTTTATTGCTGTTAAAATTAATGGAGTTATCTGAGAAGATCCAATATCTAACATTTGGAAATTCTTTGCGTTTTGAGAATGAAGTATGGTTATTAAATCACATTCTTTAATAGCAGTTCTGTCACCGTAGAGATTAAGCGTTTCCAATTGAGAACATTTAGAGATAAAAGATGAAATAGCATTGGATGAAATATTTTTGCATTTAGCTAACAATAAATGTGATAATTTATTTGGTGCATTTGTTCCAGACAAAAAATTCAATGTTAGGTCGCTTATAGAACAGCCACCCAAATCAAGATGAGTAAGATTTGGAGCATGAGCGAGAAGAGGTATAATGGTTGAATATTCAGAAATTACAGGGCATTCATGAAATGAAAATTTTTGTAAATGAGACAATAAAGGGTTGCAAGTTATGCGAAAAGCAATTGTTGTCTCATCATCATCATCATAAAATTGTTCTATTCTAACTCTACCGATTAGGTTAGTGAATTCTTCTAAAGTTTTACTAAATTCTTTACTAGCGCATCCACAAAAATCGATGATTTTGACGTTTTTACATTCTAAAAATAGAACTTTTAAAACGTCAAGAGTAATTACAGATTCCAAAGATTCTGCTATGGAAAAAGCTTTTAGTTCTGGAAAGGATCTTAAAATATGAATTAAAAGATCTGGTGTAACAACTTTTTGGGTTTCAAGAGAACTTTTTTGCAAGCCACAGGTAGAAAAACTGGAAAGATCTAAGTGGCGAACCATTTGTGAACAACGCATTTTAATATCATTTGTGGCATTAGCAAAAAGTGTAAACGTATGAGGAAAAGTAAACGAGACAGTATTATATAAAATAGGAGTAGCATGAAGGTTAAAAGTGTGATTAACTAAAGCACAAGCAGCGAGAGTTTTCTTATCATCCCTTAATAAATTAAGAATCATACGAATGATTTCAGGAGGAATATAAGGGATCGATGTAATTGTCTTATTTACTGGAACAATTTGTGAGCCAGTGAGAGGATAAACAAATAATTGAGGTAAAATAAGACCATACATGGTTTAATTGAAATCGAAATTTGTTTGAATAATCTTTTTTAATTTTTTTTCTGAATGGTTTAGTGCTGAATTGAAAATGGGCAAGTAGAATTTCGAGTCCTTATATAATGTTATCGAAGCAAGAGACAACTAATTAGAAGCAGTTTATTGATATGGAAAAATTCTGGTAAGCTTGTTTAGAAATAGAAAGTATAGTAAATACCATTCTTAGCTTCTTTCATGTAGATTGTATTATAACATTGTAAAAAAATCTAGTGAATCTGCAACATGATGTGGTAGACTGAATAATTCCCGTCATTTGAAGGTATAAATTCCATAAATATGCAATATTTACGATAAAACATGATAAAACATGGAATATGAAACACGGATTAACTTTTTTATAGGTGACGGTTGACGTTATACGTATTGTTTATATTGTGGTACAGTCGTGAGAGTTCGGCCTATTATTAGATTAAACTTTTACGTACGTATCATACGATAAAAAAGAGGCAACAATATACCAGGCTCAGTGGCTTCACTGCTATTGTTATTGTTATAACAGAGAACCAGTTTTTTTATTTGTTTTATCTACAAGCCATTGTAAAAACTTGAAAATTAACAAAAGTCATTCCTGATACGTGTATTTTAACGATTCTTTTTAATATTTATTAGAAAATCATGTTCAAACATTTTAGTAATTAAATTAAGACAAATACATTATAACCGTTATTTAAGTTACAGACCAACTCGTTGAATATATGCGCTGGCATACGGAAGAGTCTCAATTAGTTATTTCACACGGCATGCTATAATCGTTTATTTTATTTCCTAAATTGCTATACTTTTTCGGCCGAGATTCTTCGAGATATGAGAACTGAGCATATGCTTGACAAAATATGATTCGCAAATTTATTTGTTGCATAAATAGGGTCTTTGCAGTAGAAAGGCCTAAATGCTCTATATATTATATATAGAATTTAGGCTTTTCTACTGCAAAGCCCCTAAATAACTCGATTTATATTTCTTATTAGCGTTAGTACAAATAATCATTTGTATAAATGGCAAATTCGTGTAAATGACAAGTTCGAAAATCCTAACACTAACTTACGTATAGAAGCCCGGTTTAATACCTGTGTACTTCTGTACTTCGAATCTCATTTCTATATTTGCTTATTTATTGGAATAATTTGATGCCTTCCATTTCTGGAAGTTGGATAATGCAGAATTAGGATTAGGGTTGCTTTTTTTGATGCATTATGCTGACATATATTGAATTAGCTCCGCTTTAACCGACCCCATTTTTGTACAGCAATATCTTTGCAACATTGTCATGCATAACGATACGATTGTATAATACTAATAAGGAAAATCATTGTTGGAACGTCAATGAGCATAACTGCATTATAAAGGTCGTACGTACGTAAATTGTCTCTTTTAATAAAACCTATCCCCACTATTGATCTTGTCATTCATATTAATACTATATCACGGTATTTCAACATTTATTGTACAGATATTGAGTTTGTGCTGATCCTGGAATCTTTATATTTCCTTTTTTGATTATATATCTTTTTTTTTTTTTTTTTTTTTTTTTTAATGCATATATCATAACGACTTTTTTTTAATCCATTGTCAAAACCACCCAGTAAAAAAAAAAAAAAAAAAGCAAAAAGAAAAGAAAAAGGTGAGAAAGAATCGTGAAATAAACAGTTATTGCCGCGAAGTAGATTTACGTAATTAATATAAGTAACATGATCCATGAGCACTACCAGATAACACTACCGGATAATACAGTCCCTAAAAAGTCCGGCCCTGAACTAGTTAGGAATTAGTCTGTATCCCCTGCATGAAACAGAGTCCAACCCTAGCGGTTTATATAGGCAATTTTCGAAACTTTGTAATACTCAAAACTGCAATATCTTTTTTATTTAGAATTTATTATAAAAAGATGCGTATACAATATAGAC